AAAGAATCCAGATAAGATATTTGGGGGGAAATTCAAGCAACATAGTTGCCTCTGCACTCACTTCCTTTTTCACTTAGCTGTTCATCAGTCTCAACAGACAGAAATGCACAATCCCCTATGACTGAATTCCTATGAAGAATAAATCCCATAGAACACAGTGACCTAATGTACAAGTAAACACACAACAGCAATATTATTTCTGTGGTATTAGTCACTATTTTGTGTAGTTGCAGTTGATCTCAGTATTAATGTCCTTTGTTGAACACACACATATACTTCCTGTTCAGTGTGACCATCTGACCTATCTATCAAGCCATGAATGCCAATATCACAACTTCTACAAATTGACAACAGTGTAAATCATTTTGTGAGAGCATAGTAATAAAATCCTATCAAGCTGAAACAAGAGGTTGATAGGAATATGAAACATCATACAAAACAGTTAACTTCAATGTCTCCCTAGACTAAAATGCAGGCATTTCTTTCAGATTGGGAATTCAATGTGGAAAATAAATGATCAGGATTGTAAAGCATAAGAGACATGTCTTGGACAAGATACAATCAACTTAGGGATAATATACCTGCCAAAAGAATGAATAGATTTATTGATTGTTTCAATCCCTGAAGACTAGCCTGTAATGTAAGAAACATTTCTGAAGATCCCCCACTCCTCTGAGCAAAAAAACCAGAAGAAAAAAAAGAGGGTATTTTGAAGAAGAATTATCCTTAGGGTTTACAAAAATGGATAAATATTACATTTTTCTAGCAATTTGTTTTGTTCAAGATAAATCCTAGATATATTCCATTACAAATTAAATTATGTAAACCCCAAAGAGACACATACACAATTGTATGGGGCAGAATATATTACGTTGATCTAATGTGTTAACCCTGCTGTGCCCTTCATAGGTTCACATAGATCTCACAGCAAGCAGAGTTTTTCCATTGACTGCAATTTAATCTAAACCTTCATACCTACAATGGCTATGACATTAAACAAATGGGCACATCTCAGCGCACTGTTTTTATGCTTCCACATTCTTTGATTTGCAAGGAAGTAGGCTTATGCTCAGGAATACGATGACCGTAGGCTCGTAATGATGACCGTCACCATTTAGAGCAAACACATGCTGTACACTACAGATCCTAAGTTGCACCCCCTGGAACTGGAGTATGGTGAAGATGAACACCGTTTACGGGCTGACATCCATATATTTTTGAGCTTGTAATTTACACAATAAAAAATGGGGGGGATTTTTGTTTCCGGAATGTGTGGATTTAAAAATGCATAGGGGAAAAAAACAGTGTTCATCTTCACCATACTCCAGTTCCAGGGGGTGCAACTTAGGATCTGTAGTGTAGGGCTGACATCCATATATTTTTGAGCTTGTAATTTACACAATAAAAAATGGGGGGGATTTTTGTTTCCGGAATGTGTGGATTTAAAAATGCATAGGGGAAAAAAACCATCCTTAAAAATAAATGCTTTCCATGAAAGGAAAAGGGGACAAGGATGTCTTCATGCAAAATAACACTAGATTAAGACCAAGAAGTAACTTTGATTAAGCTCAGGAAGTGCTCTATTTAGAAGCAGTGTGTGATCTTGAGAGAAAGAGTTGTGCCCCAATAATGGCTGAGGGCAACAAAAAGTTGTAAGGAACATTATGTTTTCTGACTTCTAACAGAGCATAGCATAAGAATAAAACTGAGACACATCCTGGAGAATGAGTGACCACAGCTAGGAAGCTGACAGGAGTTAGGCAGCAGAATTCAGCAGGAGAAGCCAAGGAGAAGACATCTGACAAAACTGTTTGGTTTCTGTATATAGTTATATATCAGTGGACTTTCCCTTCAAGGAAGACAAGGCAGAATTTTAAAAAATCCCTTCTATACAAATTTAATTCTTCAACATAATTTCCGGTTTATCAGTATGGAATATTTTGCTTCTGTATCCATGATTTAAAATACAAGGAAATGGCCCAATATTGTTGCACAAAATTGGGTCTGCATTGCTAGCATGAAAAAGAATGCCAAGCTTTACGTAGCAAAGGGCTGCCTGAATGTTGACAACACCAATGGCAGCAGTCAGGAAGGTCTACAGGATACCCTCTTCTGCTCACTGTCATTCACAAAGTGACACTACACAAGGGAAAATGACGTATGCTGACTCTTTTTTCATCAGTTAACCACTTCTCATCCAAATATAAAGCAATATTCATGGCTATTTTTCAACAAGTGTGAATGGTAGTTCGGGGAAAGGATTTTCAATTAAAAAAAACCTGTCCCCCTGCCCTATTTTAGAACCATTCACAAAGTGATACAAAGCAAGGGAAAATCCCAGAAGCTAATCTGTCTCATATTTGGTGTTGATTTGAGGTCCACTTTCAAATTTATAATTTGTTCTTTGGGGTGCCCCTATTTTTAGAATTGGCTTGTAGAATCTTGCTTTGCTTTGCTGCACAATATCTATTATTGCACTCCCAAACAGCAATAATTATCATTTGAAGTTCTGGCCAGTTTATGCAATCAAATGCTTGAAAATATCTAATGAAATTATTCCCACCTTCACCATTTGTATTCTCATTACATTTATTAGATTTAACACACTCCTAGTCAGATTTGTCTTTTGTCTTCCAATTATAAAGCCACTTTGATCTTTAATATATCTAGTAATAAAAGTATTCACCCCTTTGTTAATATTGCTGTAAATGTCTTAGCATCTTGCTTTATTAAAGAAATATGTTTATAAGCTCCAGGATCAGTTAGATCCTTATTCATTTTTAGAATTAATATAACAAATGAATGTATCCAATACAATGCAATCTTTTCATCTTCCATTATTTTATTTAAAAGAAACTTTAATTTGTGTAACAACATTTTTCTAAATAAGACTGTAATACTCTGATCCCAGACCCTTATTTTCTGGTTTCTTCCCTACTTTTCATTCATTAATAATTCCCTCTATCTCTTAACCTCTGATTGGTTGCTCCTTTAAATCTCTACATGTCTTGAAATCTCCTCCCCAAATCTTTATGAATATACCCTTATTTTTCGCTCCATAAGACGCACCTTTCCATAAGACGCACCATTTTTTTAGGAGAAGAAAACAGGAAAATATAATCTGTTTTCTTCACTCCATAAGATGCACAGACTTTCCACCCCCCTGTTTTGTGGGGAAAAAAGTGCAAAAAATACGGTACTCTTTAATTCTTCCTAAAGAAAGGAAATGTATTCTTGACCTTGAATTTCTTCGAATTTCATAAATACAAAACCAACTCAGTTTAAATTCATTGACACCTCCTTTTGTTTGTCAAGTCTCTTTTGAGAATATCATATCCACTTTATCCTTATTTAACAATTCCTCTATTTTTGCCCTCTTTATTACATTCCCCTGGCCTTTTACATTTGCCATATGAATGTAATTTTAGGCTACATTCACAGACGTATGGCCTCCAAATCCCATGAAGTACTAGCTCCCCTTTATTTGGCATTGGTTCGGACTCATCTTGAGTATATTCTCTGTTTTTGACACTACACTTTAACTAGGATAAAGACAAACTGGAGCAAGTTGAGAGGAGGGCAACAAAGATGATCAGGGGACTGGAAACCAAGCACTGTGAGGAAAGTCTGAAATAACTGGGCATTTTTAGCCTTGAGAAAGGAAGATTGAGGGGAGATGTAATAGCACTCTTCAAATACTTGAAAGATCATCATACAGATGAGGGGCAGGATCTGATCTCAATCATTCCAGAGTGCAGGACACATCTGGCTTAACTTAAAGAAAACTAGATTTCAGCTGAATATCAAGAGAAATTTCCTAACTGTTAGAGTAATACAGCATGGGAAACAGTTGCCACAGGAAGTGGTGAGTGCTCTAACACTAGACGTATTCAAGAGAAAATTAGATAAGCATCTGTCAGATATACTTTACTTTGGATTCCTGCACTAAGCAGGGAGTTGGACTGAATGGCCATATAGCTCCTTCAAACACCATTGTTTTATGATTCTATGATAAACAGATGACACTATATTAGAAAGCAACAATAACTTGAAACAAGCTCTGAAGAAGACTAAATATACAAACGAATAACCAGGATAACAACTGACCAGGAAGAAGACCCAAAAAAATAAAAAGACTAAAGTATTACATATTCTATAATCGATTTCTAAAAATGCCTCTGAAAGCACATCCATTTTGAAAAATATTCACAGAAATATGTACAAATTTCTTTGTATGAAAACAAAAAACAAAGCAAGATTGAGAATCTAATGCAGACCAAAGTCAGAAGGACACTAACAGATCTCAGCATGAGTCTCGTGTTGAAAAAAAGGAGAAGTTATATGGGACAGGGCTTAACAGATTTGCACATTTTATGTAGTAAGTTGCAGTGATGGTTATTAGCAAAACTTCACTTTCTCAAAACCATAAACCACAAACCTAGGCTCCCTTCTCCAGTTTTTGGCAGGAGATACTACATGAGAATGCTCACTAGTAGTGATCTAAATTGGGAGGTGGTGAGTGCTCCAACGCTGGAGGCATGCAATAGAAAATTGGACAATCATCTTTCAAATCTGCTTTGATTTCGATTCCTGCATAGAGCAGGAGGTTGGACTCAATGGCCTTATAGGCTCCTTCCAACTCAATTATTCTATGATTCTATGATTTTTTTAGGTATTGAGTAAAAGACCACAAACAGACATCTCCAATCAATCAGAAAGAAAAAACAAAGAAACAGAAACAAAATGAATCGCAAAGTTTTGCTGAAGCCAAGTGATTTATGTTTATGCAAATATATCAGGCGTTAGTAAGTAATTATTTATTAATTGAATGAAACTGGACTGACAGTATATCTGTGGTGTGCACAAAGCATAGCTGACTTAAAATGAAACACAATGTCCACAATTCAGTTTGATGTCTTGCATTGAACCACAGAAATAAGCAGTAAAGCAAAAGGGAAGGGGAAGATAAACACCTCACCTGAGAGCTTTTGGCATCTTACCTACACAAAAGGTTCCATCATTGGTTATAAAAGTTGTATTGCCATTGCTAGGCTGGAATCCAGGTGCACACATGCAGTAGTAACTTCCCTCCGTATTTGTGCAGTTTGCATTTTCTCCACAAAGCTGAGTGGCATTTGCACATTCATTGTCATCTGTAATACAGTATATGAATACACAACATCAGATGATTGGCATTGTATAGAGAACTTTCTCCTCTGTCTCTTCTTCCTGCTATGTAAACGACAGGTTTCTTTTGTGAGCCAGGCGGCAAAAAATTCTCCTCCCTCTTTATTTCTGCTGATAGATGGCTCCTTTCTCAACTGCTTTAGCAGGGGCAGGAGCTCTTTGCCTGCCCGCCCCCCTGGGTGAGGCACAAGGTGGCCTGATGTGGCGGGGGCTGAGGCTAGCTTTTAAAAAAGCAGCTTGTCCCCACCATCTTACCTCTTGGTTGCAGCCATCAGGCCACCCACCCAACCTTGTCAAGAGCAAGTTTCACTGGTTGCTTTGGGGCTGGATGGGGCCTTTTGGCCTGCTCCAATCATTGGCATTAAGGGGCAGATGTGTTTTCACCCATCTCATTCTTAACCTTATGTTAATTGTTAAGGGGTGAGGTGCGGATGATGTTGGCTGGTCACACTGCTGGGAAGTAATGAGTTGGATGGTGAGTTCAAGCAGGCACCCAACTGGGGCATTGAAGGACCACTGGTTTCAGCTCTGGGATGGGGAGGAGGCAGGGGTCCCCTGGGGGTGCGGATCATCTTGAGTCGGGAGTCTCATTCGGCCTGCATCCGTGGGGTGTTTCCAGATTTTACCAGAACTCAGACAGTTACAGTAAGATCCCTTTGTCTGAGGCAAATCCAACCTACTTGTGAAAAGGGGTGTTGTGTAAAGGTGTTTAATATTTTAATAAAGTGTGGCCCATATTTTAACCCACCTCCTGTGTCACGCAGGAAAAGTCACACATGGAAATCTAACTGCTGAAAGGGTGCATCAATAGGCTTCTCCCTGGAGAAGTAGGCTACTGACCATGAACATTTTTTTTCAAATAAAATGTGGTGGCCTTAAGGTGTCACAAGACAGCTTGCTGACTATCACAGCTAACCCCCTGGAAATCATTAGGTTTATTATCTTTCCAAATAATATGTTAGTCAGTTGCAGAAAAAAAACAAGGTGACGTATTTTCCCAGAGCATGATTGAAATACAATAGAGTGTTGTAACTAGAGTACGCCCTTTGAATGAATGGAATTTATGGAGCAGCTGACTCAAGAAACCTTCACTGATTCAGTGGACCCACTTTACTTGCAAGTTACTAATGGATTTCTGCCTGCCCCTTTTCCTTCCTTCCTTCCTTCCTTCCTTCCTTCCTTCCTTCCTTCCTTCCTTCCTTCCTTCCTTCCTCCACACCCAAGCATGTCTTTCTTTGGAAGATCCTATGGAAAATACGTATATTTTTCCAGATCTCCAGAATGTGAAGTCACTCATCAGGAAATAATGCCAATTTCTAGATACATGTATTTTTTTAAAATCATACACACCCAGATTAGTATACTTCAACTAGGCTTCCAGATAAGTGTGTACAGAATTGTAGCTTTAATCTGTAATTTATGGGTCATTATTACTGCTGTAGTTTCTGTAAATGGCAACTACTTTTCAGAATAGCTTTTAGAGAAAGAATATAGTTATTACTAGAATTAATAATTTTTCCAGTGGAAAGCATGAAAACAGAATTATCAAATCAACTGGAGTCAGTGGTTACAACATTACTTCTGGTGTTGGAAGTAACATTTTCTGAGTAATAAGGTACATTGTAAAGCATGTTTAGAGCTATTTTGGCAGAATCCCCCCCCTTTTTTTTCCTTTGCCTTTCTCTTATCATTTCTGACTGACAAGGGAAATAACTACTTTGTTTCATCTTTTCTGTATTTGGAAGTTCAAAGTGCACAGTTTTTTCAAGCTGAAACCAGGTGCCATATCTAAGCGCAATATCAATATCAGCTCTAAGTTTGGCAGCTACTTGCCACCCAAGATTTGTGTCAGAGGGAGAAACAACAAGAATGTTGATGCTTTGTTGATGCTTGCCATATGATTTCTTTGTATTCCAAACATATTTGAATTAGCAGAGATCATTAAATAAGATCATAAGAGAAGGATCTGAAGGTGCACTTCATCCAGCATTGGTTTTACACATGGACTGTCAGGTCCTAGAATGTTAGTGGAATTCTCAGAAATGCTATTATCCTGCTCTATACAGAGGGGAAAAAAATCAGGTGGAACAAGCATGGAACAGAAGTTCCATTGTGATCACAGTTTTTGTATGTTGCTCTAAGTGCCATGATGAACAACTCCTGGCTTTCTCCTCAGTCTTGTCCTTACTCCTGGCTTTTCAGCTTCCTGATGTTGGACTCACTGTACCATTCTGAGCAAGACAGGGAGTGGAGCACCAGCACTGTGATTCTTGAGCCTTCTTGTTGAACAAGCCGTGGCAGTGGGAAGCCTGAAAAAAACAGACCAAACTAACTCCCCCACCCCTCACCCCACACATACACCTTCTTGGCTCTGCCTCTACAATATCACAAGGATCTATTTATTAGCTTTCAGGTTTTGACCCTGAAATTTCAGGGGATGGGAAGTAGCTGACCTGGCAATCCCAGTTGCCAAAGAGTTGTCAATGGAAAGCCCTCAAGCAGGATATGAGTGCATTTTGAAAGGTTCTTTTTTGTTTTCCTGAGAAAAATTAGTCAACAATAACAACAGCACTACCTCCTTGCTTATTCAAGGCTGTTTGCATGGACAAGAATAATGATGTGCATACAGACCATGTTTGGAAGATTTTCCTCATTTACTATAATGCTATACAGATAGTTTTGTGAGCCTGTTCAGACAAGGACTATCCATGACATTGCACTCAGAGAAAAAGGACGTACTTGACATGAGAGGTTTAACAAATAGCAGAAGATGCAGTAATATTGTTCTATATATAAAGAACAGCAATTGACATTTTGTTTCCAAAGACAATCGAATGGAATTCTTAACTGGCTGCACAAGAGAGTGTGAGCCTTTATTTTGTTTCAAGAATCATGACTGCCTTCAACCTATGGTTGTTATTGTGTTCCTCTCTTCTTTTCCTTCCTCAAATTAAAACCAAACTGTTCCAACAAACTGTTTCAACATACTTTCTTGGACTTTGGATATAACTCTCACAATGCTAATGGCAGGATAGTATCACAACCCCCAAATGGTGCAAGGAAACACTCTCAAGTGGCATGAATTGTCTTATGCACTGGCACCTATTAAAATCTGTACCGTTTTGCCTAATTAACTTTATCGAAATGTTGGCAATATTCCACCGAGCAAGATGCTTGTAAAGATTTTAATAGACTCATATGTAGTACAAAGTCTCCTGTTCTCAAAGCTTTTTCAAACAAGCATTGCCACTTCCCTCCATTTTCTAAAAGAAAATAACAAGGTCCTTTTATTGTTACCTTACAAGGCTAGCTTGTGTTTAGTCACCTGCCTTGACTGGCTAAATTCCTCTGGAATTAAGTTGCACTCAAAGATAGTCTGACTTAAATGGGACTATTTCTCATTTAATACTGAGAATTCACTGAAGCCATATTGGCAGTAAAATGGTTGGTTTATTTCATGGTCAGCTTCAAGCCCCACATGGATAAAATAAGAAACAACTACAATAATAAATAGGCTAAAAATGGTTACACAACTTTCCAGACTATGCCACAATCATCATCGAGAAGTAGAGGAGGGAAAAAATATAGGTAGTAGAGAAAGAAAAAAGAAGCCTAAATGATTGTATTAGTACAAGTGGAGAAAAATTACTTAAGCCAGTGAAAATGGAGAATATTTTGAAGACAACAGAAACAAAGGCTTACTATAAGAAGCAACAATTTGAAAATAAATTAAACAGTTGGAAAAATAAACCATTACATGGACAACATCTGAGAAATATTGATGGATGTTATGACAATAATTCAACATGGGCATGGCTAAAACTCGGGACCATTAAGAAAGAAACCGAAAAACTGATTTTTTGCTGCACAAAAACAAGCACTCCAGACTGATGTGATGAAAGCTAACATTCAAGGATTTAGTGCTAACTGCAAATGTCAACTCTACCAAGAAAAAAATGATACTGCGTCATTCCTCATCAGTGAATGTCCAAAGATTACACAGATTACAAAATCAGACATTATAGAGTGGCAAAATTAGTGCACTGGTCATTAAGCAAAAAAACCTGCCAACCTCCAAAAACCCGTGGGAAGATCATGTAGAGAAGATGTCAGAAAATGATGATGTCAAGATCTTGTGAGATTTCTGGATTGAAATTGATAGACATCTTGATCATAACACACTGGACATAGTAGTAATACTGTAGAATGAAAACATGTTTGAAAACATTGCAATTCTAGGGGATGCCAGAGTTGAAACTAAAGAATTGAAAAAATTAGCAAGATACAGAAATCTGGCAATCAAAACATCTGGCATGGTCTGCTGGTAAGGAACTTTGTGACACGGAGCATCTTTGTCTTCTCATCCGGAATGGGCGAGATGTGGTTTCAATTCCTGGCTATCCGGGAAGGGAGGGGGAAGTCCTGTATATAACAGGAACTCCTACACCAATCGGCCTCTTCGAGGCTTGCATTCTGGAGAGAAGGCTGCTGCTTCAGAGCGATCCTTCATCGTTTGAATTCAGCATCGACAGAGCTCTTGAGAGGCTGCATCGGCACCCCCTCGGTGGTTTGGATTGGGGACTTTCCCCTTAAATATTGCTGGGAATATTTAAAAAAAAATAAAGAGAAGCTTTGTATAAATAAAGAAAGAAGTACAGGATTATTAGAGAGAGTGTGTTGGGAGTTATAGGGGCAGCGGCCCATAGGGGCTTACCCCCACAAAAAGATGGCAGATTTGTGGTTCATCTAACCCCCCCCTGTATTGGGTAAGGCAGTGGACTGACCCCCGCTCCCTTAAGTGAACAAACACACAGGCAGTTGGTGCACCCCTCCATTTAACAGCAGCTTATATATTAAATAAATTACAGCGGCTTTACAGGTTTTTAAATCCAAAATTATCCCACAAATTTTGTATGGCATCCCAATCTGGTTACTGTAAATGCCATAGATAGGTCAATTGAACAGA